TATTATTACGCTCTAATAAGTTTCTGTCTATGCATAAATGTTTGCTGAATTGAGTAATTTTAATTTGTCGCTGTACACAATTAATTGTTGCGGCAGGTTTTGAATGAAAATCAGTAGAGGCCAATTTCTATCATTAAATAATATAAAATATATTAGAAAAATTTAAATGTACGTATTTTATACATCTTCTATCATCATCATAAGGTCATCAGTCTAAGACTGGTTGGACACGCACCTCCACTCTTTCTTATCCTGAGCTAATCTTCGCATTTCTTTAAAACAGAACAACCCACATCCTTAACTATTTGCTAATAGTAATCTAATCTAGATCTACCTCTATAAATGTACCTAATATTTCAAGTTTAGTTACCATATTTAGTAATATGTAACGTATGATGTTTAGGGTGTGAAGCAAGCTACTTCTTTTTTGTTTCCGCCTGTGTAGTGCCTATATGCCCATGGTGGCGAACCTATAGCATACGCGAGCAAAAAGTGGCAGGTCCAAAAATTTTTCTGTCAGGTCAATGATTTATTTTAATTTAGTTTTTGTATATTAATTTTTTTATTTGTCTAAATAAAATTCTAAGACAACTATATTTTTATCAGTTTTTCCCAATTAAAAGCTGTCCGGCACGCCAGCAGCGCGATGATTAATATTGTTAGTTTTCTGATACGCGTACAAAAAAAGCCTATACGATGCTCACAGATTCGATTGTTCAAAATTTTGTGGCAAAATCACGATGCGACGCTACCAAANGTAAATGGTTATTTTGAGGAGCTTGACGAATCAGTCTATAGAGATGGCATTAATAGACTGGAACACCGCTATGAGAAATGTATCAGCCTTGGAGGAGATTATGTTGAGAAATAAAAAAAAAAATTTTTTAAAAACCTTGTTTTTCTTGGTCAGGCCGGAAACTTATCAATCCACCCTCGTATTGGTTCTACTTTTTAATTGTATCTGATAAAACATCCTTTCTAGCTCTACCCTATAACCACACTAGGGTTTATTCACTACGTTTGACTTCAAATGACATACTGGTATATATAGATACATATTATACTATACAATATTAACGGTCGTTAGTCCCATTATTTAAAATAATAAATTCGTATACGGTTGAAAAGACAAACTGTGGAAAATTAAATTACCAATTACGACTATTCAACAAATTAATGTGTTGTATATAAAGCAAAGCGAACAGAAACATGCTTTTGTTTTGCTATTTATATTATTACGCTCTAATAAGTTTCTGTCTATGCATAAATGTTTGCTGAATTGAGTAATTTTAATTTGTCGCTGTACACAATTAATTGTTGCGGCAGGTTTTGAATGAAAATCAGTAGAGGCCAATTTCTATCATTAAATAATATAAAATATATTAGAAAAATTTAAATGTACGTATTTTATACATCTTCTATCATCATCATAAGGTCATCAGTCTAAGACTGGTTGGACACGCACCTCCACTCTTTCTTATCCTGAGCTAATCTTCGCATTTCTTTAAAACAGAACAACCCACATCCTTAACTATTTGCTAATAGTAATCTAATCTAGATCTACCTCTATAAATGTACCTAATATTTCAAGTTTAGTTACCATATTTAGTAATATGTAACGTATGATGTTTAGGGTGTGAAGCAAGCTACTTCTTTTTTGTTTCCGCCTGTGTAGTGCCTATATGCCCATGGTGGCGAACCTATAGCATACGCGAGCAAAAAGTGGCAGGTCCAAAAATTTTTCTGTCAGGTCAATGATTTATTTTAATTTAGTTTTTGTATATTAATTTTTTTATTTGTCTAAATAAAATTCTAAGACAACTATATTTTTATCAGTTTTTCCCAATTAAAAGCTGTCCGGCACGCCAGCAGCGCGATGATTAATATTGTTAGTTTTCTGATACGCGTACAAAAAAAGCCTATACGATGCTCACAGATTCGATTGTTCAAAATTTTGTGGCAAAATCACGATGCGACGCTACCAAAAATTGGTCATAAATCGCTATCGCTGTAATTGCAGCGAAATCGTAATAATGTCGCCGCGCGGCGAATCGCAAGTATGTCACCTACTTATTATTTCAAAAAAATTTTTTGAGAGGTCAGTTAAGTCAGGATTCAGAGAAGCAGGTAGTATAAATGTAAAAAATGTATTCATTAGATTAAAACTTACCTTTCGGAGGGCATACTTTTGTCAACACAAACTGAATGGTCAGATTACCTAGAAGCCATAAAAAGGCAATACAGTCGAACAGGCAAACAAACAAAAGAACATGGCCGTTGTAATTAGGGTTGCCACCTTTTCAAGCTTTACATAAAATATTTCTCGACTAAATGGTTCAAAAAAAGAAAGTACCTACTCAGCATAAAAATAAAGTATTTTTTTTTTGTATATTTTTTGTTACACCTAGCAGCCAGTAACAAATTGCTGTCGCTCTTAAATACATTAATAGCCTCTAAACATGGCAAACAAAGATTTAAGTAAACTAAAAGTTCATTTTTAATTAGTTTTAATGAAGCATTATTCCTGTCGTCCCGTCACTTTGCGTTCATAACAGAGAATACTCTTTCTGTAAATACTGAAGAGGCCGGAACGGACAGCAAAACTGACACTACTTTGAACAGATTTGGGAAATCAGGTTGTTCCGTACATAGAAACATTCTCAAAAATATTGTATTGTGCAATATTATTGATTTAAAGATACTCTGAACTTCGAATAATCGCTTACAAAATTACGATGTTTACTTAAGGCCTTAAATAAAGTATTTTTGAGTACTTTATGTGTCTTGTAAAATATAACATACGCACAGTCGAAATAGAGTACAATACTTTATAATAATGTACGGGTGGCAACCCTAATTGTAATACTCACATCGCTCGTATTGCCTTATCATTATTATCCTAGGAATGTTCATCAAAAAAGAAAGTTGGTGGATCCGGTGATGCCGAATTCCCTCCCGCAGGTAGTTTTGGTTAAAATATAGATGTCGAATTCCCTCCCGGGTACTAGCCGAGTTCCCTCCCGTTTATAGTAACTCCGATAATTAAGTTAACGACTACTTACCGATTTTATTTATCGAAAATAAATGTATATTTATAGTGCACTTCAGTACTTCAGTAAATTAAAGATAAAATAATTTCAGAAAGAAAACACATATCAGTTATGAAATGTTTATTTATTTAATTTTAAAATGATTTCCCACTACCTTAACAAATTCAATGTTTGGAAATTCGTGTGCGTCTAGCTTTTTGATGCAATCATCTAGAAAAACTTTATTAGTTTTAGTTTGTCTTGTATTTGACCAATAGAAGGGTAGTCCGATAAAATTATTATTGTTATTGTGGTGTCTATAATATATGAATAATATTAAGATTTATATGTGATGTGAGGCTGTATTATTTAAACAACCCTTTATGACTCTATAGTGGCAATTAGCACTCAAGGTCCGCCGCCGTTGGGAGGCAATTGATGTACAATTAGGAGGGAATTCGACATACCGAAAATTTTAATCCTAATTAAAAACAGTTATATGGGAGGGAACTAGGCATTATCCGGTGGCTCTGCGAAATTTTGTTATTTTGTGGAGCCAACTTGAACAAAATGGCAAAAGACGTAGTTTTAGTATTGATCATGTATCGATAGACTGGTTTCTGGCATCTTACGTCATTATGACAATTATGTCGTCCATTATATTATCAGTTTATTTAAAGTAAATATTCTTTTAAAGTCTTTATTATTTGTGCATTATCATGACCTGTATACACCCGTTAGGAATTTTGATAATCGTGGTGGTTTGTGCAGCTGTAGTAGTTTCACGAATGGAAGCCACAAAACGTGGAGGAGGTGAATAATGATAAAAAGGAATGGCCGTCTGCAAAGTTTACATTAATATTTTTAATACATCTACATAACTACTGTAAATTATAGTCTTCAATATATTCTAACATGTATCCAAAGCAAGCATTGTATGAGTCTACCTTATAGGGAATACAAGAAACCTACTGTTTTAAAAAACTTCCTTGTCAAATTGAGTAAATAGATTAATAAATATGACTGTGTTTAATATTAATTTAATTCATTTGGAGTGGGAACAATAACAAGTGTTTGTATGTCTTTTCGTACTCGGACAATGAAGGTGATGGAATATTTATATTTTTGAAGTGAAACTTCTTTACGCACGGTAGAGTAAGTTCGTTTCATGCGAGTTGCTATGTAACGAAATCATGCAACGCATTTCCTCCGCTGTCTGTCCCTATGTATGCTTAGATCTTTAAAACTGCGCAACGGATTTTGATGCGGTTTTTTTTAATAGATAGAATAATTCAAGAGCAAGGTTTATATGTATATTACATGCATAATATAGTAGAGAAACACTGTTAATTTGAGAGGTTTGTAATGTGATGTCGTAAATAAACACATTTTTTTGCGCTTACATTGCAAACGCTGGCTGAACCCTACGTGATAGATCAAAATAATATGCTACAGTATTGTACACCTTAAAAAGGTCTACAAAAAAGTCCGTGAGGGTATATATCTATCTCTTAGGGATAACCCACAATAACCATTTTTTATCCTTTACTTTTTACGAGAAATAATGGTTTATATACGAAGCGATTTTAAGCAATACAGCATTAATCCTTATCCAATTAAGTACTTTTAAATACATTACGCATTTAATATAGATCAATATGACCCTTTACAGCATGTAATTTAAATGAATATTTCGAAGATATTACAGACTTAAAATACGGCCGGTTTGTATTGTCTAATGACAAAATAACTGTGATTGTTGTATATAAAGACATTCTATAGTATACGTATTTACTATCAGCATTGCATCCGTGCGAAGCGTATTGTACAAATAATACCACTAAACCAATTCCTTAACCCCTACGCCGGTATGTTTGTGTGTTTGAAGAAGTTGCACTTCAGTAGCGTGTTGTGTAATTACACGTTGTATTTTTTTTATAATAATTTTTTTTTTCCATTTTTTTCTATCCTGAAACGATCTACGTATTTCCTTATAACTAGAACATCCCACTCTATTAACTTTTTACAAAAACTAGCCTAATCCAGATCTTCCTCTGTCTCTTATTATTCCTGTTTCTGCATCTAATATGTTTAAAGTATTCCTTCTTCCCTTCTATCTCCTCATTTTCTTATTGACTTCTATATACTTCTATTAACACCATATTTCAAATACTTCTCATTTTTTCTTACATAATTTATTTGTTAATAGATATTTGTATATACAATAGTAATTAAAAGGTAACACATACATTCATTCCTTACTTCCTTAGAGAAGAAATCGGTATTCTCTACGTATAAAAAGCACACACACTATTTTACAAAACTAATTCTAGTTTTAACATTAAGAATACAGATGGCGTTCACCATGCCATTTGTGGTATTTTCTTCATTAAGAATAATACTAAAAACAATTTTCTTTTTTTTTTATCTTCCACTTAACAACTTAACATATCACGATATGAACTGATGCTGTCTTGATTCGGGTTTAAAGCCGTCGTCAGCTGGACTTGCATACAAACAAGTGGCTAGCTTCTTTAGAGGTACTTCTATTTCCAATGCTGGAGTACAACTTGCGCCAGACGACGGCCTTTAGCCCCAAATCAAGACTGCATCATTTCACCTAACAAAATGGAAACTTTACATATCTCAAAAAATTTAACCATTTCTAAAAACTTGCTTCTCTTTAAATAAATAAATAATTTAAAACAAAATAACAAGTTTCTTAGTAAATCGACTCATTTTTCGCAAATATTAATCGTAAAATCAATATACATGGACTAATATTGACCCGCGAGCACCATTAACCAACGGTTTCTACACCAACTAATAAATGAATTTTTTTTTGAAGAACCGTTTGCATTTGCATCAAAATCTAGAAAAGTAAACTCAGAATTTATTTTCAAAAATAGTAAAGCCGCAGCTGCAAAAATATTCGAAAATTGAGTCTCATGCAGTTTACTGACTAAATTTTTGGCATCTATTAAAAGATATTTTTGGTTCAGTTGATATTGAAACCAAACAATTTTTTGTCCAAAGGACTTAATGTTGAGTCCATCCCTGTGCCTTTCACCATTGAAATCTCAATAGCCGACTAGCAATAGGTAATATGAAAATTTTTACGTATTTAATTCAAAACTAGAAGGTACCTATATACATATGTTGGTATAATTATCTTAGCCTTCGAGACTTACTAAAAGAACCTTGCTGTAATGGATACATCTTTGCATAAATTTTTCAACAAAATAAACAATAAAACAACAACGAAACCTTACACCTTTATAAATGACGACCATTGATGATATTCGAATTGTTCAACTTATTATCGTTGACAATCGGTTTGAATTCTTTCTCTCCGTTTATGATCATTCTGTATTTGCTATCACTGACTACTTTGAAGAAGATATGTCTATATTCGCCCTTACTTCTATATTCTAGGATCTTTTCGAATATATTTATAATAACCGGCGGTAATCTGGCGATGTTAGCCGTTGCAGCCACATCTTCGTAGTATTCTTTTCGTAATTCTTTAGTCATCATCCCATGCGTGTGTTTTATTGGAATTCCAAGATTTCGTTTGTTTGCAATTTGTTTTTCGTAATCTTCATACATCGCCGACTTCGACGGGAGAGGAAAATGACCGTTCAACGTGGAAACAAAAAAGCGAGCCTAAAACAATCATCCTGTATTAATTAAGTAGGGTTAAACGTTACAAGGTGCACTTAATTTTAGAATATCTACTAAGTTTCTTGAAGTAAATGAATATTAAATTACATAGACCCGACGTTAGTGTTGCTATTTTGTTTTTATTGAAGTGAAACTTCTTTATCGACAGTAGGAAGAAAATTTACTAGAGTGTAAAACCGAAAAGCGTAACGTCACGCGTCACGCGCCACGTGTGACCTCTGACGAGCATCTCCAAAAGGAGTCGTTTTAACAAGATTCAACCGATAATTCACGAATTGCCATTTCGACAAAATGTATTGTATATGCGTTTGTGTTTATTTTGATTTCTAATTGCATTGCTCTCTGCAGTTTTGTACGAAGCAACCCTTTTTTAAAAGAAAGCTACAAAAACGGAAGAGTGTATTTATAAAAGAAATTTTCATACCTGCAAGTCGAACAGCCCAATTACTGGGATATTATACTGGAGTCCAATGAAGCACATTGTGGGATGTTCTATATTCACAATTTCTTTATACAACGGTCGAACCCATTTGCCGCTCTCCACAACAATTCCACATTCTTTCGTCAAAAACGGAAAATAATAATCGTAGCCTTAAAGAGAAATATAGTTGAAAGAAACCGTAGGATTAATTTTATTTAACTTCAGACGAAAATTATTTAAACATTTTTCCGCAAATCTTGTCTTGTACTGATTTTATCAAAGATAGATAATGTTAATTTTTTACTAACCTGTACTATAAATGATAACATCAATTTCCTCGGCCGTTCCATCTTCAAAGAAAACCTGGTTTCCTTGTATCCTAGAAACGCATGGTTTTTCAATGAGATTTTGCGGCAAATTAGAAAGCTTCTTTTCCATTCTGTAACTCGCAAAAACCTGAAATAAATATCTGTGTAATAAGATAGTTCTCCATTTTGTAATATCTTTTATACAATTTCTAAAGATTAGAATGTAGGATTTAACACAAGATCCTCAAATTATTTTATTTTAAAAGTGCAAGGAAAAACCAATTTTACTACAATATTAGTTACAACATTCATTGGAAGTATTTACTAAAACCTATACAGTATCGGAAAATGCGGATCTTGGCAGATGTCGATGTACGAATTTTCCTGTAGGAAGATGTTTTATATTCGTTTCTCAAGTCGCTATTAAATGGTGTTTGACTTGATATCCTAACTAATATTATAAATGCGAATGTACATTTGTTTGTTACAATTTCACGTCATAACTACTGAACCGATCATCATAAAGTTATGTAGAGACATGGTCAGGGGTATAAAAAAGGACATAGAGTACTTTTTATCCAGCAAAAATAATACTATTCCCGAGGGATAGAAAAATTGCTAGTCGTCTCGATAAAGAAAACATAGTATGTACCTTAGGTCTACCTACTCAAATCCTATTTCCGATTTGCTATTAACTGTATCATGCACATAAACTCGAAAGATTGTTATCAAGTTATTATTTACTGACCTTATCTGTAACGGCTAAAAGCATTTTGGTAATATCTTGTCCAGAAACACCCATTCCAATAACCAAACACTTCTTATCCTGGAATATTTTCGTCTTCCTGAAATCCTTGCTATGCAATTGAGTTCCCGGAAAGGTTTCCTTTCCAGGAATATTTGGAATTACTTTTTCTTCACTGTGTCCATTAGCGATTATTATTGCATCGTAAGTCCCGCATAATACTGAGTGATCCACTAAATTTTCCGCTTTCACAGACCATCTTTCTCCTTCCAGGGGTGAAACTTCTGTAACCCTTGTACGTAACTAAAGAAATAATAGAAAATTTATTACCTCTGAGCTTCTTTAAAATAAATATGAAGTGTACTTTATTAATTAATATTTAATGAATAAATGAAGATAACGTAGTGAATGCCATCTGTAACCTACTAGTAACGGTCAAACTTGGATCGTGATTTCGAACACCTTTATCCCATCAGCACGCCGTAGACAGCTTTGAACAACGACCAACCTATGTTCTATCATTTGCAAGTATCTAACGAATAAGTAGATACTGTAGAACTTTGTTGCCTATTTTAAGTTTCGAAAGTGTTCTACAAGATTCTAACAATAAGTAGCTAACAAATTTATACAAATGGCGTTCATTACACAGTCTGTACTTATTAACTAAACAACGTTTAATGACAGTAGATGGGTCGGGTCTGTGTTCTGTCGAAGCTATCTATAGTCTATACAAAGCGTACCTATTGATGGGACAGCTTCAACAGAATACTAATCAAGATATTTTTGAAGCGAAACTTCTTTACGCATGGTAGGGTAAGTTCGTTTCATGCGAGTTGCTATGTAACGAAATCATGCAACGGATGTCCCCCCTCTACTCCGCCACGTAGTCGAGTTCGTAGTGGGGATCGGTTAAGCCGTGAGCGCGCTTCAATGCAACGTTCGTTACAGGCAACTCCGGCATGTATAGTGTAAAATTTAAATTCCTAGTGTACAAATAATACCATTAAACCAATTCCTTAACCCCTATCCCGGTATGTTTGAAGAAGTTTCACTTCAGCAGCGTGTAGCATTATTACACGTTGTATTTTTTCTTATTTTTACTAAAATGGGACATTTCAAGCAATTTAAGGAGTTTTAGTTAACATATAATCACGCTGACGTTTGTCTTTATGATGTTAAAGTTTCTTCAAGGTGGATTATACCGACCAAATTTTTGAAATATTTAATAGATTTTATTCGAATTAAGTACTTACTTTTACAAGTGGGCGAAGATTAAATTTGTCTGCATAATTGTTAAAATATTCCAGCACTTCTGTTGCGTTTAAATAACATGCCTGCATTTCTTTAGGGTACGGAAAATCGGAATATTCCATAAGTTCTTTTGGTATGGTGGTCCTTAAAAAGCAATGGTAATTGTTGTTAAATTTGTGGGGTATATACCGAAAATAACTATCACTAAAGATAATAAGCCCTTTCCAAAAGCTTTTAAATGAAGAGAATTTTGTAATATCTGTAGGAAAAAATAGACATAGTAATACTTATCTAATATGAGATTCACTTCGTCTTAGGGACTGACAATTTTTAAATCGGGGTTTTCCCGAAAGGCTGTTAAAAGACAATTCAAAACCAGTTTTTATTGTAAAGAAACCATTTTTAAAAATGAAAATGACCCCATGATTGAACCAAACTAATGAGATTTTATAATAAAGTAAGAGAAGGAAGTATTATCATGTCGATTCCTTCCATTTTTATTAAAAATATCTTTTACAAAGTTTTACCATTCCATTACAAGCTTTTTCAATATCTAAAGGTTTTACTAGGCCCTAATACACATTTTATGGTTTTATACTATCTGAAACTTTATCAATTAAATTATAATTCAATTTGTCTTAAATTTGATTAAAGAATCACTAAAATTTTCTCTTCTTTTATCTTTATCTTGTGTCAATAGGTTATCACATATTTAAAGTTATTAATATGTACCTAATCAAGTAATATAAATACCAAAAACATATAATGTAAACTCCAGGCATGTAGATAAACTAATGTCGTATTTAGGATTTTTTATATTCATTACCTAATAAAATTAGATTATGCACATTACATTCGGTATACTATTACTTCTATACACAATAAAAAATATATAAATAAACATCTGCCAGTTAACTGAGGTGGCTAATATCATTTTTTTTTTAAACAAATCGATTTTTAGTTTATTTTGTTTTAATCATGAGAAACTGATGCACACTTCTGAAAATTTGTTTTGAAAACTCTCCTTTTAATTAACAACTGCAGCAACTGTTTTGATGCAAGAATGTATTTATGTAATAGGTATAGGTATCTGTTATAAAATGTATTGTCACTTAATCACTTTTTTATAAAATTAATCTAATTTAAATGATGATTATGTATAATGATGATGCTTCTCGATAATGGATTTGATTATACTTTTTACAACTAGAACGAAACTTCTCAAATCCAATTAGAAACCACCAAACGTGAATCTTACATCTGTCCTTATTTTAGGTAGACAATTAACTAATGTAGTTCAACATACCTAAGTCCTTTGTACAAAGCTGCTTGTAGTGGCAACCCATTTTCATCAAAATCCACGCAATCGCTGTATACCCAGAGACCTCCTATATCACCGTTTTGTTCAAAAACATCCACTGAATACCCCTCTGCAACACAATATTTCGCAGATACTAAACCTCCCGGTCCTGCTCCTATAACAGCGACCTTCATTGTCCTGCAACGAATGGAGAAACTTTTTTATTTCCTTCGGTTTTAGCAATTCATTTTATTACAAGGTAGACTATTGTGTGGTAGATATAAAATTATTTTGATATCTCTAATGGTTAACATAAACAATTTACTATTTAATTATATAAATGTATGAAAAGTATTTTTAAATAGTCTTTTGAATAATATTAAAGGTGGTGAATTAGGTGAAGTTAATGGCATTATTGAAGCAATAATTAGGACTCTGCAACCAACACCAAACAAAATTCAAACATGTAAACATCTTTAGTCAATTATCAATTGTTACCAATGTTTTACGACACTTATCAGTCTATGTAACTTAAATATTAAATTATCTAAAATAAAAGGTAATATGTATGACAGGAACAATATTGTTTCTAATTTAAAATATCGATATAAGAAATTGTGGCTGAACTTAAATACTACTTAACCGTGTTGTAGACGGTTATAGGTCACATAAAACTGAAGATAAACTATAAACTAAAACTTTTTTAAGCAAAAATGTTAATATTACATCATTCTAATTAAAAAACGTATATAGACCTATTGTTAGGTCAAGTTCAACGGGCAGTTGTTTGACTTCTAAATACATTAGATGAAATTGTATCTGTTGTATGTTATTATTTATAACTAAATCATGACCTACACTGTTATGGTTAGTAATTGTTTTTGCTCATACGTCGGCCAGACAAATGTGTAATACATGGAATATTATTAACTGTTTAATAATTTTAATTTTGCTTAAATTTTCTAAATCAGTCTATTCATTTAAACTTTTTTGATTTTTAATATGCATCATTTTTGAAATTAAGCATTTCATGTAAATAATTTCATTTTTCATGATTAATACTATAAATATGAAACACTTAGTAGGGGTTAATATCAAACATTAATATGAAATTTCATTTTTTAATTTTCATTCCCACTATAAACTACTTCACGTTAATGAGGGAAAAATTTGTTGCTGTTGGCGTAAAACCAAAGGTCCCGGGTTCGTTTCCCGGCAAGGGTGTGTCAACAGCAACAATTTTTTTTCCCTTACTAACTTGAGGTAGTTTGTAGTGGGATTGAAAATTAAAAAATGAAATTTCATATTAATGTTTGTCCATGATTGTTGTGGCCTCCCAATGCATATCATTCGCACGTTCGTGAATATGTTTTGTGATGAAAGGATTTGATTTGTTTTTAATATTTCTTTTATGTTAACTAATAATTAATTGATTATGATAGCTCAGGTGTAGGCCAAATCACACGACGTCTAAAAGAGAGACTTAATGAACACAAATGGAATATTCCTAACTGATTCCTAAAAAAAGCAAAATCTATTTATTCAATTAACAGCAAAATCAATAATTTTTCATATCTGACAATTTTATCTAGCCGATATATGAGTTAAAATAATAGCTAACAGTTTCAATCGCTGCACTCGTAAGTAATAGCTTATAATTGACATAATTTCATAAATAAAAAGATAAATTAATATAATGTGTCAGGATATATTTACTAAAGTAGTACTGGCAACTTTCAAAATCTTTAATCGATTTACTTACAATTAGTTGAGAAAGAAATGAATAATAATTATTAATGTTTAAAAATAAAAAATAAAACCCTTTAAAAATTATTTACTTACTTGAAAAATAATTATAAGAAAAGAAAAAACTTGACAGCTTAAAGAACAATAAATTTTTGTCTCATATCATACGGGAGCAGCAAATTGATTACCGGATACCTCAGTGTCATCAAGGAGAAACATAACTGATTGTTCATTCGGCAGTCAAAGTATTATATCATCTACGGGCCGTTTAAAATTACAGCTACTAATGACACGGAACTGAAATTTGCGTGGTAATGCTAATCACATTCAAAAATTGACATTGATAAAGAAGTTATCGTATTTTGAAAGTGTTCTTATCGCCAGGTTGAACATAAACAAATAAATCCAGACGGAGTCACAATGGAAGAGAATTACGTAAAGCGATGTATTTCATCACGTGAAAAATCAGATGAAGCAGTTAGGTGAAGACCGTCTGTTTTCTGGATAAAGTCGGGATATAGTTATCGACAGCGACAACATGCAATTTTTTAGGTACATCTAGTTTACGCTCTCCGAAGCTCTGCACTTATTTATGTTACACCCTGTACATGGTAATATCTATTGCGTGCGAGCCTGTGTCTATCATCATCATCATAAGGTCGTTAGTCTTAAGAGTATCCTGAGGTAATCTTCGGATTTCCCTAAAACTAGAACAATCCATTTGCGAACAGTAATCTCATCTAGGTCTACCTCTACCCCTCTTAACTTCTGTCTCTGCCTCTAATATGTCTCTCACTAGACCTACCTTCATGCCTGAGAAGGTGTCCTACTAATCTATCTCGCCTATTTCTTATTGACTTCCATAGAGTCCTCTGTACTCTTACTCTTTCTGGTACTTCTTCATTTCTTTATCCACGGTATCCTCGACATTTGCCTGTAACACTATATTTCGAACGCTTCTAACCTTTTCTTTTCCGCCTCGCCCACTGTCCATGTTTTGCACCCGTACAGCGCCGTACTCCGAACATACACCTTTAACAACCTTTTTCGAATTTTTAAATTAACCGATCGCGAGCATAGAAGTGACTTCCTTTTATTGAAGGCGACTCAACCCTGCGCTATCCTCTGCTTCTACTTCCGTCCTGACTTATCTGACTTCCTAGATACCTAAAATCGGCCACTTCTTCTAATTTTTCGTCTCCTATCTTTATATTCGCTCTTTCCCTACGTTTTCTTCCCTTATATACTAGTATTTTTGTTTTACTTTTATTTATTTTCATACAGTACTGCTTTATCAATACCGCTTCTATTTTATTTAAAGCTATCTGGAACTCTTCCTTGCTAGATGCTAATACTGCTATGTCATGTGTAAATCTAAGCACACTGCTAATCTTTTGCCCCTATATACCTATCGCTACAGTTGTACTGTCTTTAATGATGTTGATGGCGTCTTCGATGTACAGATTAAAAAGTAACAGTGACAGTGTGCATCCCTGTCTGACTCCCTTCCTAATATTTACTTCTTACGTTGCAGCCCCATCTCCATAACTGTGTGTTACGTATATTCTAGGGATGCATAAAATACCCGGCAAAACCATCACAGTTCATGTCTACGTTCTGACGAGCTGTTTATTAAATACCACCCTTACCAACGTCCCAAACTACTCATCAAGTCCTGTAAAAAAGTCGTTTAAACGAAAGATGAGCCGCGTACCCGGTGTGGATTCGGTATCCGGTCGATCCAGTACCTTTTTTGTAGGATCTGGCCTGGTACTGGATAATGATGCCGGGTCACGAGATCGCATAGTACCACGAACCATTTACCAATACTAAAGCATATTTGTTGCACCCTCTGTATCGACTTTTAAATTAACTTTCTCTCGATGAAATTGACCTATGTTTTAACTCATGAACCACCACTGATAAAAGGTGTAAAATTTTCACCAACCATTTCACGATTGCGTTCAACTTTTCGAAATTATTGTTAATTTAATACTCCTTTATAGTCAAAAGGATCGGTACTATCTGTATCTGTCGTTAAGTATTCTCTAAATATTTTTTATATAAAAAATACATATTTCTCTTCAAAGAAATACCAGTTCTTATCTAACATTCGTTTCCACGGAATGTAGATGTTTATTACGTTTTTGCAATGCTGTGCCACTTCTTTCGTTCAAGATAAAACGAAAAAAAAAAAATAATCAAAATCAATATTGATGATTATGTTTATGTTTATGTTGATTAAAAAGTTTGTTTATGTTAATTACGTGAGATTCGATGATAAATGTTTATGTTGACTGACACTTTTGACTGCTCTAAGTGCAATGCTTTATTCAAAATTTAAAATTGTCTCGTTTCTCTGCTACTATTTTTCCTCCAAGGGGGTGGTAACGGTACCTGCTTGGGTTATATATATGCGTTTCAAGGCTATTTCTTAGTATTTGAATTTTAATAAGGGGCGAGTACTGAAATGGTTAATTATAGTATTCACAATCCAAGCCTATCAAAGTCTAGGGTAATAAACCGCTGTATTCCAAAACGGCCAAATAACAACGAATTTAAGAATTCGAAAGTAGAGACGAAATAGCAGTAAATAAAAGGGAAAAGCTGCTCCCCTCTGAATGGTAGCAAATTTTTGCCATTTTACTATTTTTGGCACATGAAGAGGGCGAGAATTTCACGGTCCACCCTAAGCGCCAGTATTACTAATTACGCCATTTAAATTTTATTCATTATTTTTTGTCATAGTTCCTCTAGTCCAGAACCTCGACGGGATAGCTATACGGGCTCACAAATTAGGAAATTTTGAATGTCAATGATTTGGTCAGAACCTCAATTGATCATTGCTATTTATGCTTAACAAAGATCGCTGGGTATTCTAGTAACAGCAAGCATAAAATTGAATATCCTAATATCCCTTCGGTGTTTTTTTTTTTGTTTTCGTGGAAAAGGGAAAATCTTCAAAAGACACCCAGCCGTCCATACGACTGGGTAGTGTCGGATTCCCGAGGAGGAAGTCCTCGGACCATTGTTGCCAACCTACTACAGGAAAAAATCCCACGCACAGGTCCAGAAAATCCCATATTTTCTCTAAAAATCCCTCCAACTTATTACTATTATTATTTTTTAATTCGTTAATTTAATCGTTTATTCGAAGAAAAAATATACAATATTTTTGTAAACATGGACAACTTTTCGTGTCGATAGGAAAATACCGATAATTTTATTGTATGTAGTTATCTCGTTTCCCAAAAATGCAGACAAAACCAGGCCTTGGGGGTTTAGATGTTTAGATGTTCGCATTTTGGAACAATACACCAATTCAAACATTTATTTTTATTAGTTTTAACATCTGTTTCTGATCTGTTGACTGGTCACTTTCAAGACGTTTGCTGAAGACCATACAATGATACGAAAACAATATACATTTCAAAAAAGTTCAAGACAATTTATCGTACGGACTTGAACAGGTACCTGCAGGCTGCACCCCAGTAGGCTTGAACGAACGTCGCCGTCGTATATCAACCGTTTCATCGTACAGCATTATACGATTATAGCTGACAAAATTTTACGTTTACAATTAGAAAAATGAGCGCCTTTATAATATAAATTCAGGTCAACAAAATCAAACAAAATCAACCAGAAAATGGCAAATTACAAAAAATCCCGCAAAAATAAGGAAAAATCCCTTTATCCCTCGAGAACGCCAAAAATCCCTCGAATCGGGATAAATCCCTCGAATTGGCAACACTGCCTCGGACCTACCGACTAAAACCCCTCTACCTCAGGCCGTTCTAGGACCAACTAGGGTCCTCTTCAGCCGCTCCGGTGGTGAGATCTGTAAATCGTTATGCTTGTAGCCACCTGTTCCTAAAAAGCCTCCTGAAAAATGCCAAATAGACTCAGAACTGGTAAACGTTTTTAACAGAAACATGATTATGGTTGTGGTAGCAATAAACAACCCCATTTTATGTATGAGGAAGAACTGTTATTCGTGACTTGGATCTTGCCGAAACGAAGGCAGATCTTCTTAGATTTCACTTACAACAATGGAATCTGTCGCAAAAATGCAGTGGCGATTGATTTAGATATTCCTGATCGAGGTGGTAAGCTTGCTATTCATTAATTGAAAATGCTTTTGTGAATTTGAGATGAGTGAGAAGGACTCTGGACCGGTTGCGCAAAAAAAAAAGAAAAAATTGTGTGCGAGATTGACCCGCACGATTCACACGAGTGAACAATAAAGATAAGACAGGATATTACAGTTACTTTCAAATTGACCTTTATATCCATCGGTTAGCGTAAATTATTTGCTATCTCATTTTATTTAGACTAGCTTTACGTACGTAGTAAACGACTAGTTTACTAGAGTGCAATCACGAATTGAAGCAACTGTGTATGATGATCTAACGCTTTTTCTACTAATAACGTATTAGTGCTACTCATAATGCATTACTATTAAATTATGTTATGTTCTTTTTCAATCTAAATAGATAAGTACAGTCAAACTTATGCAACTAAAACTTCTAGTGTCGAAATCATTTCTAACTGAAATATTCTTTTATTCCATCGACTTTAGGCCAAAGGAAAAGAGACGTAAGAAGCTCAGTCACCTTTCCCTCGAAATTTCACAAATTTCTAATAAATTTGGACTTTTTTATGAAAGACTAACCGAAAAAAAAAAACAACAAAATTAGTTTCACTTGTCCAATGTTAAGTAATACGTATAATTTGTGATTCTATTTGGCAATTCCGCTATTTTAAAAATCCGGAATAAGTACTCATCCCGACAAAACGTACGGACTAGCGACAAAGCGTACAACTTGTTTTTGCGCGACAAAACGTACCACGTCCACCTACGAAGGTCCTTAAGTAAATGCGTCGACGACAAAACGTACCAGTTAATAATGACAAACGTAGTGTACATAAAAATCCCTGACTTACAAATTAAAAAAATACTTAATGAATGCGCCTACATATATCGTATGTTATCAAAGCACTTTAATGTGGTTCATTTGCTACTATTATACATCGTGGAAGCGATAATGGATTATGATGCAACGAAATTAATTTTAAATAATTTGAAAAGGAGTTTAATGTGTAACTGACATGATGAATTGCGTTTTTGTGAAATATGAATTGGGCATTGAAAGTTGAAAGAAGAAGAAAAGGTATGTCAAATGCGACAGACAAATGAAAAGAATAATTGAGTTATATGAAGGTGATTACATTATATTGTATTTGACAGCCTTTTTTATTTATAGAACTTTGAGTAAAACACTC